ACTTCTTCTAGCTGGTCTACGTCAGTCATATGATACCTTCAAGCAGATGTACGTCAGTCATGTCATATCTTCTTGCTGATGTACGTCAGTCATGTAATATCTTCTTGCTGATGTACGTCAGTCATGTGATATCTTCTAGATGGTCTACGTCAGTCATGTGATACAATCTGAGGTACGTCAGTCATGTGATACCTTCTAGCTGGTCTATGTCAGTCATGTGATACCTTCTAGCAGATGTACGTCAGTCATGTGATATCTTCTAGCTTAGGTACCTCAGTCATGTGATATCTTCTAGATGGTCTACGTCAGTCATGTGATACAATCTGAGGTACGTCAGTCATGTGATACCTTCTAGCGTGTCTACGTCAGTCATGTGATACCTTCTAGCAGATGTACGTCAGTCATGTGATACGTTCTAGCTTAGGTACCTCAGTCATGTGATATCTTCTAGCTGATGTACGTCAGTCATATGATACCATCTGAAGTACGCCTGTCAGGTACGTCAGTTATGCGATACCTTCTAGCTTAGGTACGTCAGTCAAGTGATACCTTCTTGCTGATGTACGTCAGTCATGTGATATCTTCTAGCTTAGGTACGCCAGTCATGTGATACCTGCTAGCTGATGTACGCCAGTCGTGTGATACAATCTGAGGTACATCAGTCATGTAATGTATTTTAGCAGATGTACGTCAGTCATGTGATACCTTCTAGCTTATGTACGTCAGTCATGTGATACCTTCTAGCTGATGTACGTCAGTCATGTGACATCTTCTAGCTGGTCTACGTCAGTCATGTGATACCTTCTAGCTGATGTACGTCAGTCATGTGACATCTTCTAGCTGGTCTACGTCAGTCATGTGATACCTTCTAGCAGATGTACGTCAGTCATGTGATATCTTCTAGCTTAGGTACGTCAGTCATGTGATACCTTCTAGCTGATGTACGTCAATCATGTGACATCTTCTAGCTGGTCTACGTCAGTCATGTGATACAATCTGAGGTACGCCAGTGATGTGATACCTGCTAGCTGATGTACGTCAGTCATGTGATACCTTCTAGTTGATGTACATCAGTCATGTGATACTTGCTAGCTGATGTACGTCAGTCATGTGATACCTTCTAGCTGATGTACATCATTTATGTGATATCTTCTAGCTTAGGTACGTCAGTCATGTGATACCTTCTAGCTGATGTACATCATTCATGTGATACCTTCTAGCTTAGGTACGTCAGTTATGTGATATCTTCTAGCTTAGGTACGTCAGTCACGTGATACCTTCTAGCTGATGTACATCATTCATATGATATCTTCTAGCTTAGGTACGTCAGTCATGTGATACCTTCTAGCTGATGTACATCATCCATGTGATACCTTCTAGCTTAGATACATCAGTCATGTGATAGCTTCTAGCTGATGTACATCATTCATGTGATATCTTCTAGCGTAGGTACGTCAGTCTTGTGATATCTTCGTAGCATGTAAATTTGAAGGTTTAAATAGATGATACAACATGAATACGTTACAATATTATGTCACTGTTTCATAATCATATACAAAACTCCGGATCCCGTGCATGGTATAATTTATCATATTGCTGACACAATTCACATTCAGGCCCCCAAAAAGTCGAAATACAAAATTTCGAATAAACATGATGTTAACTCTTAGTTTAGCAGACTATGTGGAATAATGGAAAGGCTCTCCAAGTGTATAATTTCACAGCAGCGAAAAGCAACCTGTTCTCACGTTATCTTCAACTAGGGAATATTTAAACATTTAGCATAATGGGCTTTAGAACGTTTTAAGACCTGTGATCAATTAAACTGTTTCAAAACCAAATCAGTTTCCAAATGTTGCATAAAATCGAGAAATAAACTTTCTCCCTTTTGTCCCAACAATGCAGGGGGTCGCGTCACGTGACCACACAAACCTTAATCGCATCAATTCCTGTGAGACCGTTCCTCGTTATAGAAAAGAACATTGTGTTAGGTACACAGACAGCGACCGTTAATCTTAACTCGTATAGGAAAGCAGTAAGCGACACAACTACGAATTTAAGCCAATACAGGAGTCCTTCTCTCGCGGCGCACAATGGAAGCCAATAGAATCCCGCGCTGTTCGGGCGTTCTTTATTCGCGTTAAGTGGGAATTAGTGTACGGACCGCTCTTGAAATGAACAGCCCGTTTGTTTCACCAGTATATCAATCTTACCATGTACATTTCAGGAAATTAATATTTTTCAATATCGTCCAGTTAGACATTTCCTGGGCATTATCAGGACCGGCTTTGTAGTCCAATCTTTATTTTAGTCAATCCTGTCCTCGGCATGCGTTGCCTGTTCTGTGAAGGAGAGAGAGGCGGGCACTAGCTGCCATTCACATAAAAAACATCTTTCTTTTCTTCTGCTACTTGCAGGATTACAACTCTCGGAATCCTCAGCTTCCTAATTTTGATATTAAATCGGAATCCGATCTCATCTGACCCATTTCTAAGCCTATTACTTCATTCAAAAGAATTACGAAGCGTATTTCTATCTCCTTTCTTTGTTAGCGTTGCATTAGTTGGAAAATGCAGTTTGTGTGGTATTTATTTTGAACCACGCCCTCAAGCGTGTGGAAATGTAGTCATCGTTTCAGGGTCTCAACATTGTGTTTTTGCGCCACAGATTTGTTGATGCTGATACAGAGAGAAAATAGAAGTTGTACGAATTGCGCATAAAATACGTTGAATATCCTGGATCCCATCATCTCTTTGACCGTACATTTCATTACGTATCGCGCTACAAAACTTCAAAAACTGTGGTCTGAAGTTTCTAAACAGTTTTGACTAACCGTTTGTTTTCTTTGCTGTTATTCCTACTATGAGGGACAAGGCTAACTGGAAATGCCCAATTTTAATTATAAAAAAATATAAGACACATTCAAATGGTTGACAGCAGACGCTTTTTCTTTCTTACACTTGTAAGGTTTTGACTTCTGGCACCTCATAGTACATAAAAATGTCTAATAAGATCCCAAAAGCCGATTTTCCCAACTTGAAGAGAAAGTAGGTGACCCGCCATGCATGTGTGTTACGTTTGTACTGTCTTTATCTACGTTTTCTAAAGAAATCATCTTGGTCCAAGACTTGCTCAAACGCCTACCCTAAAAACTCTAAAATCTGCCTCTTGACATCTTCTAACCTAATCTCATGTATGTGTTGAAATGAAAAAGTTTAGTTCTCAATCATATGAAAATAACTTTCAAAACAATTTCTAATTGTTTGGCTCATCTTGTAAATTATGCGGATCACGTGGATCAAACAGCGCCCTCGTCCAACCTCGTCCTTTGTCATGTGGTTTTCTAACTCAGTTGCAATCAGATGTTCTACATTTGCCCTCGTTATCCGAGATTGATATTTGGTACTGAACTTCATACAATTTACGTGACTACAAATGTGAAGTAAATCAAACATACATACGTTCAGCGAGAGGTGTAGTGCAAAGTATTAAGGATTGTAGGTGTGATCAATTTGTGAGAATTCTCCCCAAAACGTCACACTTACAAAGAAGAGTAATTGTCATCGTATAATGTTGCCTTTACATTTTGCGCATTATTGAATTGTAAAAAATAATTTTGAAATGGAGATACACGAGCATGAGCACGAATTTTCAAAATTTTAGAAAACTTTATCATGAAATCCCTGAAACTCCATTTCGGTGCAGGGTGGTAAAGGTGTTTTCAGAATTGAAGCTAAACGTTATTTTGAAACAAGGAATAGGCAGCTCTCCATCGATTCCTCACAAAAAGACGACTACTGTATATTTCTAAAATAATCTTCTGCCCTTAACTCTGAATAATTTTTAAAAAAAAGCGTAATCGTTTGTGGCGATTCAGACCTTTCGAACACGTTTCCTACGACAAACGGACCTTCAGCTGCCGAGAAACGTCCGCAATGTCGAAACGGAAATATTGGGGATTTGACACCACTTTCTGGATTATTTTGGGTACGTATATAATACAAATTTGTGTTGCCTGTACTTAATTATCAAGATAAATCCAAGCCTAACTACTGAACCATTCCCCGACACCACAAACGAGCAGCCATTAGACGATAACTGAAGTCTTTCATTCAGATGTTCTGATGAACTGAACTGAAGACCAGGATCTACTTGATGCTAGTTCTCAAAGATCAAAGAGAAAGCAGTAAATATAAGACTACGTGATTACTCCTCCGTCAGTGGAATGTTAGACGATTATTAGTATTAATGAAGTAATAACAGCAGTAATATATTATAAATATCCGGAGAAGTGTATACTAGGCTAGTGTATCGTCTCGTTGATAGGTCTTGTTATAAGGTTAATATAGCAGTTTATACACTAGTTGATCTGTCGTAATTGTTAACTTTAACCAGATAATCCAACCGGTGACTAAACATAAGCAGGTATATGCGGACCATATAAGGTATTGTTATCAGCTGATCACGGACAGGTAGATATGTTTCTGGCATATATAAGCAGGTGTAATTACGGGTAGATAAGGCAGGTAACGGAGCAGTAGACACATGACGAATACCTATAACAAGAAGTCATGACGACGATGCTGTTAGGCGTCAGTGCAGTTTAATATGAATAATCACAAATGCTATGGTCGCTAAAAACCCTTAGCCTGAGCCAGGCGTTACGAACGAAATTATACCAGTGTAAAATACACTCAATATTGTTCCAATATTTTCAGTAAATATTAGCGTTTTCTAATATAATTATGAACTAAATATAAATGGAATAAAAATATTCCTAAAGGTTTCGTTACCTACAGTATATCTACAAGCAATTAAATCTTGAAGACGTTTACGTGTCAGACTGAACACTGATAGCTACATAGCAGGCTGCAGTGATGAAAGATGGACGTATTAAACGGCCGTGATTGTGCACCGCTCCAACTGACTGTCATTCGTCATAACCTCCTTTCGTATAAAACACACGCTGTGACACTCAAAGTGAAAACATTAGCACGGACTTCTCAATAAATTATTTATTATTGTTCAGCACCAGATGAAGAAGTAGTGAGACGAAAGATAAATAAATTTATATATATACAAAATAAATTACATGTTACATTATACATATGGTATTATGACAGAGGATGTTCAACGTTCATGAAAATCGATAGAAAAACATTTTCAAAAATGCACATTATTGTTGACACGGGTAATATCTGTTCTAGCATCTCTTTGTCACTTGTAAACATTTCCACAACGACTGTGATCACAAAATCAGTATAACATTTTGAATGTTTTGATATAAGGTAAACATAATCAATTTCAATAAATAAAAATATGTTAATGAATGTTTTGCGGATTATGTAAAAATGAAATAAACAAGTGATAATTAAAGATATGGTAATGAAACTATCTGGACGCAAGAAAGGTACGAGTTTAGTTCATCGTTTCAGGAATCGGCAGTCGCGCATTGCATCAACATTACAAGAAACATCATAACAAATTGGAAAATTAATAAACAAACTTGACACAATGCCAAGATTCCTAGCAATGCATTCCATTTCGTATTTTATACATTAACTATTAAATATTTTTACGTGACAAATTCATATTTTGGTATTTATAGTTTGTCAAACTCATGAAACAAGCTTTCATCCCGATTCCTGGTGAAATAATTAGTCTGTACAGTCATAGGAGGTGGGGGACTTGAGTCTTTACATCGTTTTAACATAGCCGTGGTTATCACTGCGTCTGACTGCAGACTAGATTGGCTATAGTATACCACTTTGGTCCTCCGGTCGCAACCAGCACATTCATCACGTGTCCGTTATCGAAAAATCGAGGCATCCCCAGGCGATGCTGTCTCTTTGGTCAACCACAGCCATGTCCATTTTCACTTTTGCACTTTTACCCGTAAGATACTGTACAATAAATGCAACTCGAGCAACACCGTCTGTCTGTTTCAGTCTTTTGTTCATGCAGACAGAAGGGTAGAAAAAGTCAAAAAATCTCCGCGAGATTTTTTCCGCGTTGACTGCCTGCACTATGACGCTCTTCATACTGAGATTCATGCAGTACATTCAACCAATTCATTCACAAAAATACTTTTGACTCACAAGTGTTCAATAAATTAGGAATATAATACAGGTGTCTTTGTATAACGCATTGCTTTGTGGGTATTAGCACGTTCTCTTGGACACCAAGTCGAGTTCATGAGAGTTTTCCAGAAGTCTGTAGCGTACTTGAACATCGTGCACTGGGGGCAATATTTCATGTCCATAGAAATTCACATCGGGGAGAGTGCTTTCACCGTCTAACAGTTCCATCTCAAAGCTGTTGATAAGGTTCAGCATAAACCACTTGGTTTGTAGAAGGGAATACTTTTTTCCTGGACATAGGGATCCGAAGGCGATGATCGGGTGCTTCAACTCTTTGCCGTTCTTGTAGAATTTGGCATCGACAAAACGGTCGTATTTGAACTCCTGTGGACAAAGAAATACAGAGTTGTTAGAAGAGCCTTGCATGACACGGGATTTGTACACATGGCGCGTTCCTTGCCCCCCTTCGCCTTTCCCCCCGCTAGCGTTCATGTTTATCAAGCTCGTGCCCCGACCCAACAAGCCCCTAGGATATGTTGCAGTGCGGACCCCTAAACAAAACATTGGTTAAGGTGAAAGTTCGTCGGGAGCTGCGCAACTATAATTACACTGTGTATCAACATCGCGCTGCAAATATTGAGTTTTGCGTGACTTTCCCCCAGAATTTAAACACTTCCCCTCCTCCGAAACTCGCTGGACCAAAACAATATCACGTGCAATAATACAATATAACGTTTTTCCTGCATGGCACTTCCGGTAAGTTAGAAATTTCGTTTCATTTTTTTATCATTTCTGCCTATGCCCGAAACCCGTGTTGGTTCAGCAAGCAAACGCTTTTTAATAACAACCTTACGGAAGTATAACTGAGGCTATTTTTAACAAGAGTTTCTTTCTAAATAGTTCGTCGCCACTTTATTTACCTTTAAAATCAATTTCCAAGAGGCAAAAAGTTTAACTACACAGACCCAAATACTTTTCAAATTATTCGAAAACAAGCTAAACATGTAATTCCATTTCCGTATAGGCGTGTTATACGAATTTGAAACTCGAGAATGCAGCTATTGACAAGCATTTCCCCTGGTGAATATTTATATGTTTGAAACACCACGCTACAAATCTAAAGAATTAATCTGTAATTACTGAAGACAATGTGATACATACCTCAGGCTCTTCGTAAATTTCAGGGTCCATGTGGATGGCGGGTGGGTAGATGGCGACACGGTCACCCTGTCGGCAGGTGTAAGTTCCACCAGACTCCAACGTAAAGTCCGTATCTTCGGATATGTATCTCACCATGAAGACTCCACTTGTGATGCGGAGGGTTTCCTTAATAAAACTGTCTGTAATGACAATAAAAGTTCATCATTAAATGGTTACCGTGATTCAAAACTGCATCAAAGAAATGCGTTTAACATTCAATAAATGTATTTTATATCACTCATCATTACTTACTCGTTTATGAAATTAATTATTTTATAAATAAATATAATTTACCTAGAAGGGGCAGCTTGTCGAATTCCTCCATGAGAATCTCCACTTTTCTCCCCGTAGTGAGAGCCCGTTTTTCTTCCACGAACTCTCTGATTTCTTCGGCAAGAGCTGTGTGGGCTTTCTTGTTCTCAAGTAGTTTGTAGATGCACCAGAAGGCGAGTCGGAAGGTGTTGTAGTTGACGTGGAGGAAGACGAGGTTGTGGCCGATGATGTCCTGTTCACTCTGAGCGTTATCCTTCATGAAGCCCGTGGCGAACTTGATGTACTCCGAGACTCCCTCCCTCATCAACATATCATCGGAGTTAGGTTGCTGGCACAGAACCTGTAGGGCTTTGGTTGCCTTGGGGAACATTTTAGCGGGTAGGCCTAGCCACATATAGTTGAAGTATTTGTGGAAAACGTCAAAACTTTTGTGAAACATTTGGGGCTCGAATTCCGCCTGTGATTCCCCGTGTCCAAATATGGTATAGAAGAGGGCTGCGAAGATCGTTTTCGAAGTGAAGCTTCTAAGGCCATCGTGTCCCCACTGTTCGCCCACCGTCTTCATAACGTTACCATTGACATCCAAGTTGGTGACTTTGTCGAAGGCATTCTGTAAATTGTCCGAGAAATTTTTCATCCCGCAATGGAGGTGGCGCCCATTGACTTTTTTACCAGCCTCGCTCAACATTTTGCGAGCATCAACAAGTTCGAAACTAAATACATTATGGTTCACCTGCCTCTGAATAGGGTCGAAGTCAAATCGGCGCTCTTTGGACAAGCTTTCGTATGAATGGGGGTCCATCACAATGGTAACGTGTTGGTTTAGCAGCCGGATAGTGAAAATATCTCCATAAGTTTTCTTGCATTTGTGGAGAAAATTGACGGCGTGCTGTGCAAATTCAGCGCCTGACCCGAATAGAAAATTACCGGGAACCAAGGGCGGCTCTCCCTCTCGTCTGCAACGAAGAAAAAGCATAAAATCAATCGTTTTAAACAACCGGGGAAAAGTTAGTAGGACGTAAACCTGAAGGCCTACAGCAAAACATCTTCGATACAGAATCGTACTATAAAATTAAAATATTATGGATCTTTAGCAATAAAGGTTTACAAATCCATTTGTGACGAGAGTGAGACAATGGGGGGAACGGGTTGGCTATTGTTACAAAGCTCTGAGCACGGCCGCGGTGTCGTAACGGGAGTGAAGCGACAGTATATGACCTGCATCCCCCGCCTCGCAGCGCTCGAGGCATCGGGGGGAATTGCGGGGAGGAGAGGGGGGTACCTAAATTTAACCTAATGTCCTAGAAATGGTTCGTATTATATATTCATTAACAAAATCGGAAAAATATATTCAAATTCTACAGAAGTTCCCTTTCTTATCGAATTAACCGCAGTTACAGACAAATATTTTTGCGATCGTTAACTTAATAGCAGCCTGATAACCCTAGTTAAATAAAGTATTTCCTACTAAAATAAACACTTCCAAATCCACGTGACTTTGGTCTAAAGGCGGAATACGCGTGGGAAGCTAATGAACCTTATACAACGGCCTTTGTCACAAATACAGTCAAATAAAGGTGAGGTTGAAATCATGTTCGCCAATTAAAGATTTATCACAACATATATATTCAAGCTATTCAGTTAATTTGTAAAAGGTCTTAAAAAGGTTAAATAAAACCAAAATCCGTTATTCAACAGTTGTCATATATTTCAAGTTGTAAAATATTTCAACATACCTTTTCCTGTAGAGAAATTTGAAGTATGCGGCCGTGAGTCCCACGGCTAATGCGGCCAGGTACACAGATAATGCAGCCATTGCCTATATCACTTTTATACAGAGATGTGGTAGGAAAACTCAATGTTATCAGTCACAAGTTGTCGCAGAAGTAAATGTCGTAGGACGATCCGTGAATGTCTGGCAGAGTGTTCAGTGGTAGGTAGGTATACTCCAGATAGGTATATTCACGCTGAAATAAACAAAACGGGGTAAGTATGTTTTGATAATAGATATCAGAGAAGCGATGACACTGCAAAATTAACCTCCCAACGTGCTTGTCATGTGACTGTTGAGAAGATCATCAGACTCCGTCCCATATTAAACAGTTCACGTAAAGGAAATCTATTTTAAAATTTGTGTGCTTGGAATAGTTATTTGAGACAGCACCTGTGAGTATACTGACATATACACTGTCATCCGATACTTCACAATGCGTCACATTGGCCGAGAGTTTGGCCGGCTTCCTACTGATATCTTAAACTTGTTAGATCATAATACAAGCGTAATGATGTGTTTATGACAGGGTAGCGATAGACAAACGACGGCTTAATCATTAATTTCCGTATGTCCATATGAATACGATCGTGCTGTCTGGCAGGTGCTGAACAGGTGCTAGAGCGAGTACATGGGAACTTCGTACCACCTGTTGAAAGAGCCGTCAATGCGGCAACATTGACTACAGAGCGAGGAAACAGTTTCCCATCGGGTACGAGGATCACGCCAGATACTGCTTATCGGGACGAGTGTTGACGTCGAGAGCCGATATCTACTGAAGCAGTGGAATACTGTATGTAGGTGGAGAGCCTATGTGATCACTCCCAGTATATATCGATCTGACACTACATGCACACATTTCATAAATAGTGCCTCACCGGCGAGTTACTCGTCCACGTGCGCGCTGACATCAACGGCCGAAATAGGAATCCACTCATTGGTAAACCCGTGATTTATTTAGGGTCCCCAAGAAAACCTAGGCCAAAGTTGACACAAGGAACGGAACACACTATGTTAGCCGTATGGGATTCAACGTCCGTTACAGACACAGCGACATATGTCGGGCCCCCTGTTTGTAACGGTAGAAACTGGCCTCTTACAAATCACGCTAACATGGTACAACAGGAAAGGGAATGACATTTATGATATAAACTTTCTTTTTTTCATCAAATGACAGGACCTAGAAAGCAAGCGCCTCGTCCCGTCAACGTAGACGGAAGTATACCTGATATAGGTGACAGTGTCTACGAGCCATGACTCACAGAAAACTGACAACCTTATTGAGCTGACAACGATGTAGCAGACGACATGTAGCACGTGGAGCAGACGACATCTGCAGTAACAGACGATAAAATTGTACAGTTTCAAAATATCCCGCGAAAATGACCACCCTGGTAATATCAGATCCTTCAGCTGGTCGAGCGGGATTACTCGACTTCATTATGTGTACACAATTACAAGAAATACCGTTACACCTTTACATCATGGTATAAACATAGCTCTAGCGTGTATCCGAGCCGGAAAGCCCGTTGTGAATACGCAACCGCATGAAATACTCTGTATGAGAACGCGGCGCCTGTCAACAGATATATGAATGAAAGAACTTCGATCGGGCCGTCCGACTGACTGTCACTGAGTCAGGAAAGATGACAATAACTAGCAGCCACATCCAGTGATCTAAATTGATTAAAGTACCACACACATGTTACAAGCTAGGATAACAGTTTTAAATGCTAACATTCCCACCGTAGCACAACTGTCAAAACGAAACCAGACCCCACGTGTGTATAGTGAACAGGCTACGTACGGCCCGTCATGTTTCGCAGTGGAGAAAAACAAGTAAATTGTGTCCATATCGCCCAGAGATAGTCCATGGTAGACAAATGTATGAAGTAATAACATTGTCAAAGCCCAACTATACAGATCAAGTAAGATACTTACTTTTTACAGCTGGGTAGAAGCTAGAAAGTCGCAGTGGATGTGAAGCGGCTTTCCGTGTCAACTCCATATTTATACGTATGGGGGGCGGAGCCAAGTGTCAATCAGACTTGAGGGGTTTGCCAATCAGCTCGCTCGGCTTTTCTCAGAGCATCATTTCACGCGATGCGAAGGATCACGCTAAACCATATATCCGAATTATACTATTTATTAGGTAGTTTTGGACTTAAAATCGCATATATTTTTTAATGCAGCAAACAGGGTTGAGATGGGCGGCGCTTCATTGAGGGATGGAGCCCTTGCACACTCTATAACAATCGGAAGTAATTAATGGATTCCGGCGATTTTCATGATTCGTCACAAACTATTAAAACAAAGGTAAACCAAATTACGTTTTATTTTTAGATAGACATAACATGGAAGCCTACGATGAATGTCATTGTCTATATTAGTATGGGAGTAGCGATGGCACGAGTATGGTAGTATTAATTTCCAAACTGTAGCCAATTAGTTAATCAAATATCTAAATATACCAAAATGGCGAACATTTCAAGTACTCAACCGGAAAAGGGGGGGGGGGGGGGGGGGGGGGGGGTACATCGAGAGGCTTCTTAGGAAGGAAGGGACGCTCTGTGTTAAACATACCTGGAACCTTTTCCAGAAATCTAGTAGCTGTCAAAATATTGATAATCACAATAAAAGTAGTTTCGTTCGAGTATTAAACACATTCAAATGTTGAGATCGCGCCCCGGGCGTCAGTCTGTTAGCTCTTACTGGTGATCATGGGGCTCTTTAACTGGTGTTTACCTATCTGTCGGAAAGCCTGTACACATATACACATATATAAAGACTAAATCTTACAGCAATAAAGTCACATATACGATCCCCTATATACATATATAGTTAAGAATTCGCAATTCACTGGAATAATCTGAATATTCAACATTTACGACACTTTTTCAGTTTCATGTTTATAATCACGCTGATGATTTTAGCATATATTGCGATCATTAAAATTTACTTTTATTCTTGAAATACATTTTTGTGAACTTTGTACTAGGTAAATACAGATTAATCATTTGATTGAAATATTCAACTCCGGTGTATATCTAGATGTGAAATAAGGCAATTAAGTGATTAAGTTCTATAGTTTGTCTTTATATGGAAACATTGAACTGTGGCGGAAAGACAGACCAATTTAGAGTATTTAAGAGTCCAGAGTCCACTCCACGTCGATGATCATGAGTCCCATCTTCCCTCATAATCTGTCACACTAATTCAACACAACCTTTTATTGAACCTGCTCAATGTACGACCTGATGGGTCACAGTACTTCAAATTACACTTCAACATTTATTAGAGATTTTAAATATATGGGTAAAAATATTTAAGTTTACCAAACATTCATCTGAGAGACATTAGTTTCAACTTTTTAAAAAATAACGGCGTCTGGTGTAAACGAACGCCTACAGCATGGGTATGTTAAAGTCCACCAAGCACGTGAGGCATATCAGAAACCGGATCTCAAGGGTTTAATCCCACTTGTGTTTTCCGGAAACTGTGGTTAAGCTTATCATCGACATACGGCGCATCTGTAGGCTAACACATTAATCAAACACCAATGTACACACTTTTATAACTGAAAAAGCACATAACATTTTACTCTTAAAGTTACTTTGTGTCAATTTAATTATTTAAAAAAATAAATGTTGAAGCAATAAGAAAGACATCTGAGCCATAAAGTCTCCTTTAACACAAGAACATTTGTTCCCTGATAAGTGAGGATCAACTATATTTGTTTAAAGTTGCTTTTTTTCTACTTCCGGTGACGTTTAGCAGATTTTATGACATGGAAGTAAAGATGGTTTTGTAGGAATTAATATCACAGGTGCCGAGGGACTGCGCCTCTTTCCGCCGTTTGTTGAGCAAGTGCTCAGATTACGCTAATATGATAGGCATAGTCACAATAATTAACTATGGTAATCTAGTTCAAACAGTGGATCGGAAGTAAAGTCTGTTCTTGCTCATCCTCATTAATGTAGCAAGTCGGAGACGATAACGAAACACGTCTACAACGATATATCTGATAAAAAAAAACTGTACAGATGTCGGCCAACAAATAGGATCTGCAGGCTCCCTATAAACACGTGTCGTTGCTCGAGTCAGAGCAAAGCGAAGTCCTAACACGCCATAGACTTCCCCAGAAATATGTATTCTTTATACTTATCAAATTATTTAACAAAATAAAATCATGCGTAATCTGACTGAAAACATTATATAAATAACTAATTTATACAAGAAACATATATAATATTAGGAATTAACCTGTTTCGTTTGATGGGTTTAGTCGTACTTTGATTGTTTCTAGAAGTATTGAGTGTCAATATTCCAATGTAAGATATAAATATTATGTATCATAACACAAATCTTTATTTCGGCGTTCAGATGTGAAAACACGAGAGCCAGAAACAATTCATTTTACAGTTTCGCCGAGCGACGTCCGGACAAAACCAATTCTATCAACAACCATGTCGTTCCTTTGAGGAATATTAAAATGTCAAATATTAAATGATTGCCATTTCTCGACGATCATGTCCCCCGCAAGCTACCACTCTCACGTTCGCGTGATGGGTAAGTGACAGCTTCCTTTTATGGAGTTATAGTACTATATTTCGGATGTTGATCATTATCTACAAACAGTTGTATGAATGAAACGAGACATTGTATCTATATATGGTTATTGAGAGTCAGGAAATGACACTGTTGCCCACTGTCAAATCCGCAGCATTTGCCGGCACCAGCTGGTGTAATTTGACTGTAATGAACACTAAACCGTAAGGCTCGCTGTCATCTGACGGGGGCAAGCAAGTTTGAAAAGTGGCTTCAAAGTCGTTTTATGATTTGAAATTATATCCATTCTCACGTTGTGTTATATAGATATAATTTGTTCATTGTCTGGGTAGATTGGATTCGGCTGTGAACAGATACAGCCCAGTAGCGAGGTTGTCTGATGCATTTCCTATGCGTCTGTGTCTATGTCATGGGCAGTCTCACTACTAGACATGGAGAGTTTCACTACTAGACATGGATGGATTCACTACTAGACATGGATGGATTCACTACTAGACATGGATAGATTCACTTTTAGACATGGATAGATTCACTACTAGACATGGATAGATTCACTACTAGACATGGAGAGTTTCACTACTAGACATGGAGAGTTTCACTTTTAGACATGGATAGATTCACTACTAGACATGGAGAGTTTCACTACTAGACATGGAGAGTTTCACTACTAGACATGGAGAGTTTCACTACTAGACATGGAAAGTTTCACTACTAGACATGGAGATTTTCACTACAAGACATGGAGAGATTCACTTTTAGACATGGATAGATTCACTACTAGACATGGATAGATTCACTTTTAGACATGGATAGATTCACTACTAGACATGGAGAGTTTCACTACTAGACATGGAGAGTTTCACAACTAGATAGTCACAGAATCTGAGGGTACAACTTCCCATTTGAATGCAATTAAATCAAATTTAATGTTGTGTTGGCTCCACAAGTATATTGACTTAAAGGCTTAGATTTTACAACTGGCAGAGAACAGAGGAAATATTGCCTTGTATTGATGGGAATCAGCACAGTTCCGTTTCTAATCGTGCAATCACACACCCAAGAGAAATCAAATAAATTATGTTTACATTAGATTATATCAGAAAACAAAGTTCCACCACTTGTCGGGAAAAGTAAATTCACACAAACGCCCAAGACCCGCTAGCTATACACTAACGACAGATTAGGAGGCAAACGGGGTTTTGTTGTCAGTCAGGGTACAGTGTCGTACTGTCGGGGACTTAGCGCATCAACCCTCTTCACAGGCCACCCGGGAGCAAAAACACTCCGTCTTTTTTGTAATAAAATGAATATTACAGCCAACGAGGAGCTCTTTATGTGTGAGTTTAGACCTAATTGTCAAAGTAGAAATGGGACGTACTTGAGAAGTTCGAATATGAAGCTGTATAGTTCTTGAAACGTATGGCGCGCAAGCCAAGCACATGGCTTCAGTGAATGTGTGTCTCCTCGCAGCCACTAGGGGGAGTTTGGGGGAAATAATGACTATTTAGCCAAGTCCCCAAACCCTCAAACACAGAAACGTCCAAACAGTTAATATTCATATTACAGAACATGCCTACGTATTTTTCTTTGAATATAAAGAGGTTTTTTTCGGAATGAACAATATTTTAACGCTTGTTTTGGTGCGTATTTTAAGTCCTCACAGCGGATACATGACCAGGTCATTGTTGGTAGTATTGATAAGATTATATGATAACAATACAAAAATAATCACGTAATTATTATTGCCTAATATTTCCGCTTGAAAACAGTCCTATAACGTCCAGTCATAGTTCGTAGGCCAGTCATAAACTTCAAAAGTATTTCTTAAGAAAATACAAAGCAAAAAGTCCGTTTAAGAAACTTTAGAGGTTATCTGATAGCATCGGCTTCCGAAACAAAATACTAACAGGAAACGAAATAACAACCCAAGCATTGCCGATTTTATATAATTGATTAAGTGAAAGTTGATCTTAACAAATGAGTTCCCAAAACAAATAAACCGGTGTTTGCAAACTTTTCATTATGACTTGTTTGGAATTGATGCCGTATTTTTCGAAGTTTGAAAAACCTCCCCCACACGAAAACATACAATACTACCATCCATCAGGTAACGTTACAACACACGTTACCACAGATACATTACATGTCTTGCGTAGGCCGTATGGGTTGGGGTGGTACATTAACAAATATAGTGTAGCTACAAAGGCAGCACACCTAACTATACCCCTGGCTGTACATTCAATGCGCTATCCCCTGAGAGTATGAGGAAAACGAAAGACCAATGGCATTTCATCAATAGCTTAATGTGATTAATGAAGGTGTTTCTGTGGCAGACTGGCCTGCCCTAAGGCTTGCTATGTGTTGGCGAGCCGCGCTACGTTCAGGGAAGCCGTAGTCGAGTGAAAGGCTCTCCTACTCGCGTCACTGAGTCGTATTG